CTATATAAGGGCCTCACCTCCAACCTCATAAGGTACGTGTGATTTATCTCTCAAGCACTCTAGTTCTCTTACATTAATGCAATCACATTCCTAGTTCGTTGACTTAAGCATTAGAGTGTCCACCACGGGTAAAGCAATCCGAACTCTCTCTCTCTCTCTCTCTTTGACGCGAACTGACTTCACTTTTCACTGTCAAAATCTCAGCTCACCGCGAACTCAACACCGGAAAACACAGTCACCAACGATGAGTCCTCTTTGCCATTTTGTTGTATTACGAAATTATTGTTTAGTGTTTACATAGCCGAATGCTATTATTTGTCCTAAATCTGAATGCTATTATTTGTCCTAAATCTGAATGCTATTGTTTGTCAAAATGCTATTAGGGATTTGTTAGGGAATCATAAAAACAACATGATCCATTAGGGATTCACTGCACATATTTATTGGCTTAGTTTGTCTTTCAAAAGTGTTGAATCTGTTAGATTTGATTATCCTAATTCCCAAAGAAAAAACATTGTATTTGGCTTTGGCAATACTGCAAATCTGCATTTAGTTTCCTTTTTTTTGCAAATTCAGAATTTATATTGAATTTATATTATTTTTTAATGTAAATAAATTCTGAATTTATATTGAATCCAGATTTATATTTAATTTTTTAATGTAAATAAATTCTGAATTTATATTGAATCCAGATTTATATTTAATTTTTTAATGTAAATAAATTCTGAATTTATATTGAATCCAGMTTTATATTTAATTTTTTAATGTAAATAAATTCTGAATTTATATTGAATCCARCTTTATATTTAATTTTTTAATGTAAATAAATTCTGAATTTATAWTGAATCCARCTTTATATTTAATTTTTTAATGTAAATAAATTCTGAATTTATATTGAATCCAACTTTATATTTAATTTTTTAGTGTAAATAAAATAATTAATTTATCTAATATCTCTTTATAGAAAATTGATCTATATACCACTTGAGTTAGTTAACTATTTCATGATTGATATAATACATAAAAATTGATATTTTTTTTTCTTTTTCTTTATTTTTCCTATTTTTTTCACTTCTTCTCATAGATATGTTGTTGACTTGGTCTCATCTATTTCTTAGTAGATAAAATTGACTATTTTTCTTTTAGTCTTTTTATAAATTATTTTTCTTTTAGTTTTTTATTTAATATATGTTTGTCTTATTGATAAAATTAGAATGCATTATACAGGTTATTTCATATTTAATAATTACTAGTATGTCAATGGCAAGTAAAAATGCGGTTGTAGGAGTAGATATAGTTGATGATGACTATGAAGAGTTTGACCAAACTTCCACTAAGAAAAGATTGACATCTAAGGTGTCGAAAGAAATGGAAAAGATTAATTCAAAAAAGGCATGATGTAAGCACTACAAGAAAATCTTATAAGTCAAGTAAGGGAACTACTCACTTAAAGCGTCATTTAGAGCATTGCCCTAGACATACAATTCAAGATATTAGACAGTACAAAGTAACTACTTAATCAAACACTAATGAAGTACTTATTTTAAAAACTACAAGTTTGATATACAAGAGTCTCGTAGGGCATTATGAGTTTTTCTTATATGTGGAAAACACCATTTTACTATTATTGAAGAACCTGGTTTTAAATTCTTTATTCAATCTATAAATCTTGAATTTAAAAATGTGAGTAGGCATACTGCTATAACTATGTGAAAGAGAGAGAGGGCGTGAAAAGTTATTTGTCTAATACACTTGGTCGAATTTGTTTAACTTCTGATAATTGGAGATCTGAGCACACTGATGATAAATTCGTGTATATTGTTCATTGTATTGACAACAATTGTAAGTTACAAAAAAGAATTATTCACTTTAAAGCTTTGGTACCTCCTTTTGATGGACTATCTTTAGCAGATAAGGTGGTCATGTGCGTAGACCTGTTCATGGGCCAGGTGGCCCGACAGGCCGGCCCGACCCCCGAACGGACTTGAAGAGGCTTTTTGGCCCGCGGGCTTAACCTCGGGCCAAAAAGCCCGGCCCGCATAAAATTCGAGCCGGGCTCGAACTTTGCCGAAATAGCCAGGCTCGACCTATAGTTAAACCTAAGTAAACCCAGCCCGACCTATAGTTAAACCTAAGTAAAAACCCTATGTGATGTCCATTTGAATAAATCTTTTGATTTGAGAAGATTGTTGATTCACTCGTAGGCTCATTGTTCATTTAAATAGGGGAAAAAACATCTGAATTAAAATAGATAATGTCTATTTGAATAGGGAAAAATTCGAATTTCTTTTATTAGGTCGGGCTTTGGGCTCGGGCTTTGGGCTTTTTATCAGGGCCGGGCTCGGGCCCAAGTTGTAGGCCCGTTAGTCGGGCCGGGCTCGAGCTCGGGCCTAACATCTTTCTATTAATAAAGAGTCAAAGCTCGGCCCGGCCCGGCCTATGAACAGGTCTACATGTACTTAAGCGAATGGAATATTGATCAAAAAAATTTTAGCATCACATTAGATAATGTTAGTTACAATGATGTGATGGCTAACTCTTTGGAATTGATATTCTCAATACATAAATCTTTGGTGTGTGGTGGTGATTTTTTCAAAGTTAGTTGTTGTAGCCATATTTTGAATCTTATGTGCAAACTGGTTTGAACATTGTTGATGGTGTCGTTTCTAAGATTCGTGATGGTGTGAAAAAAATAAAGAAATCAGTTGCTCAGAAGCAAAGGTTTTATGAACTTGTAGGAAAAAAAAAACACTTAAACAAAACTAGAAGATTGATGTTAGATATGTGTGTGAAATAGAATTCAACTTATTTGATGTTTGAACATGTCATTTATTACAAGCAAGTCTTACAACAATGGGAGCAAAGGGATTATACTTTCAAAATGTTTATACTTTCAGAAGAAGATTGGAGAAAGGTAGATAAGCTTCACAAATTCTTAAAGGTTTTTTATGATGTTACTTGCATGTTTTCTGCCACTAAATACCCTACTTTAAAGAAGTTTGGATGATTCACAAACATTTAATATTAATGTGTAATAATCTTAGAGTTTTATGACTGACATGGTTAGAAATATGGAGAACTTTGATAATATTGGGCTAAATATAGTATGATTTTGTCTTATGCTGCTGTGTTGGATCCTCGTTACAAGATTAGGTTAGTGGAGTATTGTTTTGATAAATTTTATGGGAATGAAGCCAATGAGCATATTAATGCTATAACTAAAACTCTTCATGATTAGTTTGATGAATATAAAAAATATATTTCTTCCACCTTTGTTGGATCTTCTATTCAGTTTGACATGAGTGAAAGAAATGATGGTGATGAATTTGAGGATTATGAGCAATTTTTGAATTAAAAAAGAAAGATTTAAAGTGAAAAAACTCAGTTGGACCTTTACCTAGAGGAACAAAACCTTGATATCAAAGCAAATATTAATGTTTTGAAGTATTTGAGTAAGAGTTCATTTAGGTATCCTAAATTGGCAACAATGACTCAAGATATTTTGACTATTCTTATTTCCACAATTGCATCCGAATCTGCATTTAGCATTGGAAAGAATGTGATCAATCCTTAGAGAAATTCACTTAAATACAAGACAGTTCAAGCTTTGGTTTGTCTTGAAAATTGGCTCCGTGCACAAAGCTTTGTATTAGGTACTTTTTTTTTATTTATTGTTTATTAAAATATATGATTCAACACTTTATTGAATTTTTTCTAATAGATTTTCCAATTGTATGCAGGGGGATCAAGCTTGTTAAGGGTTTCTTCAGGATCAAGTTTGTTAGAAGATGATGAAAGATCAAATAGTAGTGATGATGATAATGAAAATGCTAAACTTGATGATATATTTTAGGTATTATAATAACATATATTTCCGTTATTTATTTGTCATTTGACATGATAACAAATTACATATGTGATATGGGTAATGAATTTATCTCTTATTTTTTTTTATAAGATGGCTTGGAACTTGAAAGTTGGAATGTTCAATCTTGTTGGTGAATTTAAGAATGAATGTAGATGGCTAAAACATGTTTTGTTTGATATGGGTAATGAAGTGGTCTTTTATTTTATTTTTTAAAACGACTTAGAACTTGAAAGTTGAAATATTCCATCTTGTTAGTGAATTGAAGAATGGATGGAGAACATGTTTTATGGATTTTGTTTGTCCTATTCAGATTTTTTTATGATTTTGGAGGAATATGAAGTTATATGAATTTAGTTTTAATGTATCAGGCTATTTGTAGGAATGTGAAGATATATGATTTGGTCTCGTGGTGTTTTATTTTCAGGTTTTCCTTGTCTTATATGTTTTATTTTCAGGTTTGCCTTGATTGTATAGAAACAACAGGGAACATATTAAACAACCTTAAAGAAGGTTGTTGATTCACTTAATTGTAAGAAAAAAAATGGAATTAAAATGAATTCTTTGTATGAATTAAAATGGATTATCATGTGTTTTATTTCAGGTTTGCCTTAGTTGTATAGAAACAACCAAACAACAGGGAATATATTAAACAACCTTAAAGAAGGTTGTTGATTCACTTGATTGTAAGATAAAAAAATGAAATTAAAATGGATTCTTTGTAGGAATTAAAATGGATTATGTCCATTTGAATATATTTTTTTATTTAAGAATGTAAAACAGTGCTTTAAAACGTAAAAGAAAGGGAAAGAAACATCTTCTAGGCCCGTTGGTCATTTGAATAAGGAAAAAAAAACATCTGAATTAAAATGGATTATGTCCATTTGAATAGGGAAAAAAAAACCTTCTTTCTATTAGGTCAGGCTTTGGGCTCGGGCTTGGACTTCAGGTTTTTTATTAGGGCCGGACTTGGGCCCAAATTGTAGACCTGTTGGTCGGGCCGAGCTTGGGCTTGGGCCTAATAAAATCCTGTTTATGAAGAGTAAAAGCCCGGTCCGGCCCATGAACAGGTCTAATTCCCTGGTTTATCCATGCTTAATCCTAAATTCCTGATCATTCCATACATTTCCCATGCGTATATCTCAATAAATACAGAAATGAATTTCAATACTCTGCCAATATTAATACTCTCTACCTTGGTTATGATAAACAAATCCTTTAGAGAAAAGAATGAGTTACGTAGGATTCTCTGCACAGCATATATTTCTATCATGTAGAGAGATGTAGGACCCATCCAAACCTACGAGATGAAGGACGCTTTGCAATTGATCATTCATTAATCAGTCTACCAATCCATGCTACAACACGTAAAGCTGCTTGAGTGAGTTTCAGATCACTTGTGTGGAAAAGGCAGTCCAGAGAATTGAAAGTAAAAAGAGTTGACATTAGATGAAGAGTTAATCTTGCACCTGCAGCTGTTTCCAGACTTTTCCATAGATGTTAAGGTATAAGAGCAAAAAGGCCAAACTAGCTATAAATGCAATAATTACCAAGGAACGGTCAAACCATCAGAAAATAATGCATTATTTTTGCTTTTTTTTTCTTTTGCATTTCTGTTGCTTACTTTTAACTAGCACTCTACTTGTTCTTGTGTTCGTTGAGAGACAGAAGATTCCTTTGGCTGGTGCAAGCGATGCCGTCGATGAGCTCTCTTGTGACCGTGTATGTGTCTTCTAGGCAAATCACCAGTAGTATCAGGATGGTGAATCTCTTCACCTGCTTCTGAATGCCCAAAAACATAATCAAGAGGATCCGCAATCACATCCATAGCAGAGTTTACCTATAATGACACAATTTCGGGAAAAAGAAAAGGATAATTAGCAAATAAATCTTGAGTAATAACAGGCTTTTTTATGTCTCTTTATTAGGATAATCATGTCAGAAATGTTATTTCAAATATTAAGATGGACGGAATAAATGTCTCAAAAATGAGACTAGAAGAATCCGCCAGCAAAGGAGGTCTCAAGACATGGTTTTATTTTTGAAAACAAAAACAATTGCCACATCAGCAAAAACAATATCATTTTGCTGACTTGGAAGTGGTTTTTGGTTTTTAAAAACAAAACCAACCATGTTGTCAAACACCCCATAAGTGTCTGAATTCTCCAGTTAAGCATTCTGATCTCACAAATTAAATCTCTTCCCCAATTCT